TCCCACACCCCCTCTCCATCCCTCACCCTGTTCTTGTCCAATTCTCCTTCCCGCTCTCTCCTAGCACAGCAGGATGCTCCGAGCCTGCAGACATCTCTGCTCCTGTCCTGCCCAAGCCAGGGCACTGTCACCCATAGGGATCACAGGGCACTGACACCCACAGGGGTGATGGGGCACTGACACCCACAGCCATGGGTCACAGGGCACTGTCACCCAGACTGGCACAGGGGTCACACCAACACAGTCCTGCTGCTGCATGAGCCACAATGCCCACCTCCATTGGGTGACACCCACCCTGGCACCCCTCCAGAGCCACACACATCAGCAGGGCGCTGCTTTAGGGAGGAAATCCCATGGACCTGTCCCTTTTTTAGGGACAATCCCCCAGTCCCCAGCAGCCTGGCACCCACCTGGCTGCGGGCTCTGTGCCACCACGTAGCTGCGCAGGGTGATGTCGGCGGCGCCGCCCGACTCCAGCGGGATGGGGTGCGTGTGGAAGTGGCGCAGCATGTCGAAGATGGTCTGGAACCAGAGGTGCTGCACGTGGCACTGCCCGCTCTCGTTCAGCGACAGCCGCAGGTGCTGCAAGGGCAGGGGCATGGGGTGAGCTGGGGGTCTGAGGGTGACACTCACCCTTGTAAGCTGCACCTCCATCAGCCAAGGTAGGTGTGCTCTGAACAGGATTGTTGTCGCAGACATCTTTTTATTAAAAATCCTTTCTTAGGATTTTTCCTTCTGAGAAGCTGAGAGGCCTCAGAAACAAAATGTAAACATTGATTATCTGCTGCTGTGGAATGCAACAGGTGGATCCGTGATTGGTCCGTGTGGATGTTTAGAATTAGTGACCAGTCACGGCAGAGCTGGCTCTCTCTCTCTGTCTGAGACACAGACCTTTGTTATGATTCCTTTCCTTTCTATTCTTAGCTTAGCCAGCCTTCTGAGATGAAACTTTTCCGTCTATTGTTTTTAGTATAGTTTTAATGTAATATATATATCAGAAAATAATAAATCAAGCCTTCTGAACGTGGAGTCAACATTCTCGTCTCTTCCCTCACCTGAAAACCCCTGTGACCAGCGTCACAGATTGTTGTGTTTACCCTGCTGCAGGGTGTTTCCTGTAAAACCTCACTTTTACACCCAGTGTACCTCACTTTTACCTCACTGAAGCCCCAGGAGCAGTTTGACCCCTCCTGGATGAACACCATAAAGAAACACACAGAAGGGTGTCTGGGTATGACCAGGAGTGGCTGAAGCTCTGATCCCATGGTCACTGACAGCCTGGAGAAGCCTCTAGCCCACCTGAAGAACTTCTTGCAAGGTGACAAGAACAGGCAGCCTCTGCTAGAAAAGGGACCCAGCAAAAAACTGCTTGTGGTTGTTTTTTCATAGTGCATCAGTGTATTTCAGGGCATGGAACTGACAAGGAGAGGGCAGGGGAAGGTGTGGCAGGCTACAATGAGGCCCCATGGGTATTTATTCATATGCTCACATGACAGGCACTGATCCAGTTGGGAAAGTGTAGAAGGGGCTGGGCAGGATGCAGAGGGGTCTTGGGACACAAGGGCAGGTGCTCCTGAGGGATTCCCTGCTGGGGTGCAGCTCCCTGCAGAGCTGCTGCATTTGGGGTCACCCACAGAGCAAGAAGGAACCTGAGGTGCTGGGCAGGGCTGGCACTAACATGTTGGGGAAGATGAAACAGGAAAGCCTTATAAATATGATTGTCTGGCAAAAGATTTTGAGAATAGGGAAACTATAAGCGAGATTGAAATGAAAGCAAGCTTTGAGATACCTCAGTTACTGAACAACTGGAAAACAATGGTGTGGCTGACTGAAGGTAATCCCCTTTTGATGGAACAACACCCTCTGCTTGCAGACAGCTCCAGGGGTCAGAGCAGACCCTGCCAGCTTAGCAGAAGGGGCCCAAAGAGGAGTTTTTAGGGTTTAAAATGTAACACAGTATGGTAATGTAGTGATTCCTATACGCTGTATGTAAATGCTGTAGGATTTGTATCTTGTACTGGATTGGTTAGTGAGAATCAGAATATTCAGCACAGAAGAAGATTTATTGTATTGTAACGGGAACTTTGCTCTCTTGCCTTGTACTCTCTTATGCTTTTGCTCTCTTACCCTCTCATCCTCTCTACCCCTCTCTTCTCTCGGGCCTGCTCTGAGCTGTGTTTGGCAGCTCCCAGCAGGGCCCTGCACCCAGGCCCTTTGCAATAAACCCCAAGTTCCACGACCTGGCTGCAGAGATCTCTGCTCTCCGTCTGTCCCAACTGTGCTACCCCCGTTGCTCCTACACTGACATTTACAGAGAAGCAGAGTGGAGGGAGAAACAGAAGAGAGGGAGGAGAAGAGGCCAGGGAGAAGCAGAGGACAGGGAGGAGCAGAGGACACCCACCTTGGCTTTGCCCTGGAAGTTGAAGGTCAGCACGTACTCGCCCGGCCGTGTCTCGCTCTGCCGGATGACGAACAGCCCGTGGCTGCGGGCGCCCCCAAACAGCACCAGCTGGGCTGCCTTGATGCGGGACAGGGTCCCGTGGAACCAGGGGAAGTCAGACAGGTTGATCTCAGCCTCGGCCTCGCTGTCCTCCCCTGCCCACAGGGACAGCAGGTTTTTAGGGAGCGCCTGAACATCACCCTCCCATCTCCTCTCCCTCTGTGCACCTCCAGAGTGAGGTGGGTGCTGCATCCTGCATCCCACCTGAGTGAGATGGGTGCTGCATCCTGCATCCCAGTACCTGTGAGGTGCCCACCAGCAGTGGGGGAGGATTCCAGCGTCTGCAGGAAGTTTTCCAGTGGGACGTGGGTGAGGAGCTCCCCCAGGGAGTCCCTGCCCCGGCCAGGGGGCACAGGGACAGAGGTGGCCATGGCAGCGTTGTGAGAGCTGGGCAGGGCACATCTGTCTGGTGGCCTGGGTGCCTCTGGAAGGGAGATTGCATGGGATGAGTGCGTGGCTCAGCATCACCCAGCATCACTGGGCAAAGATGAGGGTTGTCCTGCTTTGCAGGCAACTGTGCTGGATACTCCTGGATCTTAGAGACACCTGAGGGCTAGGTTATGGCTCTGAGGGAGTCCCAGACCTTCCCAGATGTAGTTCCTTACCATCATTCAGGAACTCGCAGCTGGACGAGGTTGTCCTGCCTGGCAGACAGGGTCCCTGTGCACAGGACACCAGCTCGATGTCGTCCCCACTGTCCCTGGAGGAGAGCACAGACAGAGACACACATGTGGCACCTCCACTCACTGGCACGGAATGGGGATTTGGCCAAACAAAATTCCAGTGTGATCCAAGAGCACATCCTATTGCCCCTGAATTCCTCCCGAGGGGTTGCACCAAGAGCACTGAGAAGCAGAGCAGCCACCAAACATGACTTTTTGGGGGTGAGAAACCAGCGTGGGAAGGATGAAACCCTTGAAAGCCCACACTGTTGGTCATGTTGGTCGGTTCCAGCTGCAGGATTGTGCTGCAGGATTTTGTGGGTTTGGAAGGAAAGCTGTTACCTTGACTCTCAGTGCTTTGCACCCACACACCTTCCCACCCGAGGGCGCTTTCACTTTCACCCTCTGCAAAGGGAATTACCCACCCACAGGAATTCCATCCCTATAAGACATAAACCACTAAGTCAGGACAGGCCTGGAGCAAGACAGCAAGTGGGAATAGAGCCAGGGAGCCACTCAGAACATCCCTGTTGCCAGCCCTCCCCGTGCACTTCAGCACCCTTCTTGCACAAGCATCTGACTTGCTCCACATCCTATTTTTATCCCAGCCACCAGCAAGAGTCCAGAGCTGCCCACAGCACTCAGCAGCTCTTGCTTCACACACAGGGCCACGTGGGCACAGGCAGCAGGGGAAGCTGCTGAATTATTTAGTGGCCAGCGAGTGAATCAGCCATTGGGAGTCATTCAGCTGCAGCCAGTTAAAAACAAGAAGGGAGGAAGGAAACCAAAACCAACAGAGCTCTGCAGAAAAGCCGTGTCTGGGCACTCAGGAGGCAGCTCCAGCACGCAGCCCTTGGCAGGAGCATCGGGAGCTGATTGAGAATTCGCTCTTGGCACCCGGCGCGTGTGGCGGTGTATTAAACAGCTCGTTATTATTTGCTCTGCAGTTCATTATTATTTGCTTTACAGTCACGTCCAGGGGCCAGAGCGGGCTGGTGCTGGGTGCTAAGCAAACAGAGAGGGCTGGGAGGCTGCCAGGGGCACAGCCAGGGACAGAGCCAGGGGCTGGCACAGGGACATCGGCGGCTCCTGCGGTGGCTCGAGGGCAGCACGGCCGTGGTGCTCAGATCCAGCTGGAAAACCAGCATTGAAACAAGGAGTGAGGGAAAAAAGGCCTTCTCACAGCCTCACATCAGCAGCCCAGCCTCAGCAGTGCTTCTCGAGTAAGAGAATCACAGAATGGTTTGGGTTGGAAGGGAATTTAAAGCTCATCTCGTCCCACCCCCCTGCCATGGATAGAGACACCTTCCACTAGCCCAGGTTGCTCCAAGACCTGTCCAACCTGGCCTTGGAAACTGCCAGGGATGGGGCAGCCTCAGCTGCTCTGGGCAATCCATGCCAATTAATTATAGATTTCAGGAAACAGCAAAAGGAGCAAAGACCTAGAGTGCACCAATGCATCCTCCTGTGAGATGCAGCCTCCATGGTGACCAAATGCCTCCCTCTAGCAGGAGGGGGCAAAGGCAGTCTGGAGGGAGCAGGAGCCTCTCCAAGCCTCTGTTCCACATTTGAGCGATGTTTTCACTACTACAAGTTTTGGTTGTTCCAAAACTGTGCCAAGAAAGGCAGTGCCAGGGTTTCCCCAAGGCTGGGCCTGTCTGAGCCAGCAGCACCAGGCACACAAACCTCCCTGACACAACTTGCTGCATGCGCTGGTGAAACAGCAGATGAGAAGTTTTGGCTGAGTTATGACTCCAATGACAACACTGATGCCACTGTGATAGAAATACAAATAACTCAATTAAACCAGCAGAATTTTAAATATATCATGGATGCTAAGCTGGAAAAAAACCATGGAAATAGCTCAAATATGGTATAAAATCTTCAGAAGGTGGGTGTTACGAGCTTCCTGCTTTGAGGCTGTGTTTCCAGGTCACCTGCCTCTGCCAGGCTGAGGGAACATGGGGCAGAGAAGGGTGAACAAGTGGCCTGTGCTCTGCACCCCTGGCAGACACAAGCTGCTAACTCTGCCTCCAGACCTCTGCTGCTGTGAGCTGGGCACTTCCTGTGACAAGCCAAGCAGCAAAAATTGCATCTGGGTAACAGCCCATGCTCAGGCAGCAGAGCCCAGCCCCACAGAGCCCCTCCCCAGCAATCCTTACCCAGGGTCGATGCAGTCCTGGATATCAGCCACCCACGAGTGCTTCTGCAGGGAGTCGATGGTCTCCAGGATGTACTCGGCCCCATTCTCCACCTGCAGGCCAGGTGGGATGGAGTCAGCTGTGCCAGGCTGCTGCCCACACCCCGAGGCAAAACACAGCCCAGAGCCCAGCCAGAGCCATGAACAGCACCTCAGCTCAGCAGCAGAGGATGTTCCACCCCATCCCAGCACAGGGGTGACCCAGAGGATCAGCATCCCCTCCTTCCCAGCACAGGGGTGACCCAGAGGATCAGCATCCCCTCCTTCCCAGCACAGGGGTGACCCAGAGGATCACTGTCCCACCCAGCACAGGAGTGACCCAGAGGATCACTGTCCCACCCCAGGACCGGAGTGCTGAGGGCTGACTCATAAAAATGCATCCAATCTGACTCCTGACCAAATCTAGCACTCAGAGGAAAACCCCATTGCACCACTATCAGCAAATACAAGTTTTTTACAAGGTTTTTACAGCCTCCAAGGAAAAAACACACCTGGCTGGCAGCAACAGGGTACGTGGCACTGTGCAGCGTCCCTCACTCTTGGGGCACCTCTGTCCCCCCCCAGAACTAGCTCTGCACAGCTGTAGCAGAAGCCACACTGCTCTCTGCCCCAAAACCCTGCCAGACCCAGGAGTTTTAAACCTCTCCTACATTATCTCTTCTGCCTGCTGGTCCATGAGGCTTCTGATTGCAACAGAGTGGGAGAGAAACCCCCCTTCACAGGGAAGAAAATAATAAATAAAAATTAGGACACAAAAGAGCCTCCAAACTGTCCAGCCCAAAGGAGCTGTGCCATTCTGGGGCTGGGCAGAACCAGAAGCTCCACATCAGTGGACTCAGATGCCATGGGATGCTCTGTGCCTCTGGCAGCTTTCCCTGCATCCCTCATGGAGCCTTAAACATTGTGTTCCCGAGGTGGCAGAGCAGCCCTGACTCTGGGAGAGTGTCACATTGCCAGCTGAGACAACCTCCAAGCAAATTCAATTAACCACAAACAACTGAATCACCACCCTGAAAATAAGCAGGGAGGGCAGGGAGCAGAGCCCTGGCTGGGGCTGAGCAGTGACCTGGACCCTGTCCTGAGCAGAGGTGGAGGGGAATAGCAAAAATCCCCTTCCCCGGTTTGTTTAACTTAAGAAAGGATCTTCTCAGGCTTTTTGAGGGCAAGGCATGAAGCTGACGTGGGAGATGGAGCTGCTCACTCATGCAGAGCATGACAGCAAGCAAAGCACGTGCAGGGCTTGGGTATTTTGCAAGCACCTGCTTGTGCAATGGAAAAAACTGCATGTGCTGGGTGTCTGACGGGCTCTGGGGACACACTGGCTGCTCATTTTTAGGCAATCTGGCAGGAACTATTTCAGTATGGACTCCCCAAGCAAGGCAGGGGCTTTTCCAGCCATAGTAACATCCCTAAATGAGGCAGGGGCTTTTCCACCCATCATAACCTGTGTGTTGTGTGTGAAGGTTGAGATTGGGCTCCACATCACATAGAAAGGGAAACCACAGCACCCAGCTTGCCCACCTAACCTGCTAAACTGAGGGTGCTTCACCCCCTCTGCAAATCCAGCCAGCAAAGGGGGAATGGGAGAGCAAAAAGATGTCCCAGCAAGAAGGAGCCAGGCAGAAAATGAACCACAAATAATGGATGTGAGAAAAGAGGAGCAGCATCCTGTGCCAGCAGCTGGGAGGGGAGAGCAAAGCCTGGCTGGAGGGTTCCATGCTGTGCTTGCTGGCTCTGCTCACTCAAAGGATCAATTGTGATCAATTCCCCCGGGCAGGGTGAGAGCCAGGACAGGGCAGGAGCAGGAGGTACCTGGTAGAGCAGGTATTTTCCAGCTGGCAGGGTTTGGAGCATTCCAGAAGTGCATTAAAGGAATGGCTGGAGCAGTCACCAAACTGTTAGCAGTGGGAGAGGAGAGACCATGTCTGACTTCAGAATATGGGAAGAGGGCAAGCACAGAATTTTCCTGCAGCAGCCAGAGAAACCATCCCTCACAAGCACCCAGGAGGCTGAAACCTCCTAGAAGGGATCTGTCATGACCAAGCCCATCTGCTCATGCTCGTGACAGCTCCAGGGATAGGGAGAAGCAGTGGCACCTCCTGGGTGTTGAACACACGCTTTAGACACTGATGTGACATTTGAGGTGGGGCTTATAAGGACATCTAGAAAATGTGACAAAAACGTGATGAGCCATGTTCCAAGAGCAGAGATCAATGGCTGATGAGTTGTCAATGGTCAGTGGTCAAAGCTGAGGGATGTGCTCCTTCCCATCAAAGGCTCTCTGTGTGTGCTCCTCAGTGATGAGCACAAAAGAATGTGAGGATACCTGATCAATTCATGGATGACATCACACTGAAAATGTGTTGGAGGACCAGGCAAGAATTCAAAGGGACTTGTCAAAGGTGAAGTGGAAGAAGAAGCTGAAACCAGCCCTGAGCTGAAGGACAGGGTGAGCCCTGGGCTCAGAGTGATCGCTGTGGGGAACCACGGCCTGGGAGCAGTTCTGCAGAAACCATCCCAGAGTTACACCAGCCCACAGGCTGCTTGTGAGTCAACATCATCATCATCATGGCGTGAGGAAAGCACTGCATCAGCTTGGGCTGGACAGAGAGGAAGAAGAAAGGAGAAGCAATCCTTCCCATCTGCTCTGGGCCACAGCCTCATGTACACTTTGGGGCATGCCATCTCCAGAGCCTGCAGGGAAAGCAAGGAGGAGCTTGGGCTGGTCAGTCTGGAGAATAGGAGACACTCGAGGCTGGCCTCTGAGGCACAGAAAACAACAGCTGAATGAGCCTCTGTGCCCATGGTGGGCACTGACCATTGCTGAGGCTGTTCAGCAAGAAGCCCTTGGAGAGGGAAGGTGCCAGGAGAAGTTGTGTGACCTTGACAAGGAGCTGGATTTGATGGAAAGAAATTTCTCCTGGGAATGTGTGCTGGGGCCAGGTGGATTTCAAGGCTTGGGAGCTCTCACAAAGCCAGGCTCAATTTTCCCTCTCTTTTCCTTTCATAGTTTTCTAAGCTCTCAAGCAGGTTCATTCAGCTGGGATGCCTCTCTGTTCTGCATTGCCACACACTCTGGGGGAGAAGCATCAGGGAGAGAGGTGCTTGTTTAGAAGAGGTGGAACACAGAAATGCTCAAAATCTAATGGTCCATCACTGTCATGGTGTCCAAGACCCTGCAAAATTCAGCCCTGCCATGACAGGCTGTTGTCTTCCAGCAGAGCAGGAGACAGCATTGAGCTAATTATTTGCATGATATGGAAAATTCTGAAGAAAGAGACTTTCACTCTCTGCTCATGCCCCCAGACTCATGTGTGGTTGATCCCCAGGGTCTCATTTGCCCCACAGAGCTGCTCCCATAGAATCACTAAGGCTGGAAGAGACCTCCAAAACCATCAAGTACAACCTTTGATCAGATGCAACCTCATCAACCAGACCACAGCACAAAGGGCCATCACAATGTGTCAATGAAACAGCCACCACATGTCACCGATCCGGGACAGCAGCAGCCACAAAACCACAAGCAGCTGCAGCAAGGAGCATTTTCCCTTGCAGATTGTCTCAGATCACTGATTTAACCCATCTCCTGGTGACACAGAGAAGCCAAACCCCATGGTGAAAGCCAAACTTGATCCCAAAACACCCTGGTGTCAGCTGGAGCAGGCAGGGATCCTCTGGGGAGCATTGGTGCTTTTGGCATCTCAGCTCTGAAAGCCAAGGCAACGATCCCTTTGGGGTCTGAGCCTCCTGCACTGCAGAGTGCAGGTGCAGAGGGGGTTCCTGTAGGGATCCACGCCCTGCTCTCACCTTTAGGACAAAGGTGTTGTCTTTGTCAGGCATCTCCAGGGGCATGGTGGTGCGCACCTCGATGATGGCCGACAGCGGGATGCTCACCTTGGGTTTGGAAGCCTGAGAAAAGGAAAAAAAAAAAAAAAGCAAAGAAAATAAATGAAAAGAAATCAATGAATTAAAAAAAAAAAAAAAAGTCACTCAATTGAATCAAACTGTCCCTGGGGACAATGCAGCAGGGCTCTCAGAGGCAAGATCAGCTCAGCCTGTGTGGTTATTACAGAGGGGGAATAAACAGCATTGATTTCCCTCCTGTGCCTGATAACTCTGAGCTCTGTGAATTAAACCAAGAGGAGGCCCAGTGGAAGACAAGGGAGGTGCTTTTAACTGCCAAACCACCCTTCTTGCTTCAGCGCAGGCTGATGTGCCAGCTCTGCCAACACCACTTAATTTCTCTCCATTTTCAACCCTCTCCCAATGGAGAGAGCTGTGCTATCTGATGGGGGATGCTTCCCATGCAGAAAGCAGCCCCGTTTCTCCAGCACAGGAGCAGCATTTCAACCAGGCAGCTACAACACAGCAGCCTCAGCCATGCAGGGAATTTTAATTACATTAAAATCAAGAAAAATGAATTTCCCCCAGGGCCCCTGGCACCCGCCGGAGCCTCGGTGGGGAGGCAAGACCCGGTGCCTCCCACTCCGAGTGTTTGCTGAGCAACAAATTCCCCAGATATTTGTTTTAATTATAACAAATCCCCACAAAGGAGCTCGTGGAGCTGCTCTCCAGGGCTGGTCCCCTCCAGGGCTCTGGGATTTGGAGCACTGCAGCTGCAGGAAGCAGAGATGAGATTTAGTCACCAGAACCTGCGCCTGGTGCCTTGGATGCAGTGGGTGGGATGAGGCCAGCAAGGAGCTCCAGGCTGCAAGTTACCAATAACGGGCTCAGTTCCCATTTTTATTGGGAAATAAAAATAAATAAATCCAAGACAGAACAGAAACTGCTTTTTCCCTTGCAGGATGTTTCGTTTCTGCCAGCCCCAGAGCCCCAGTGCTGCCTGCAGACACGTCTCAGCCGTGCAAGGCTCTGCCCATCCCTGGGGAATTTTTCCATCTCGGTGTTTGCACAGCAGAAGGTCAGAAAGGAAGCAGCAGCTGCTTTGAAAGGAAAGGAAACAAGGTGATAATTCACCCCTGAGCCAGAGAAGGGTCTTAGAATCACAGGATGGTTTGGGTTGGAAGGGACCTTAAAGATCATCTCATTCCAACCCCCTCCTCTCCAGGAGGGTTCTTCCCTTTAAAGGTTTACAGACATGGCCATAGTTTTTGTAGGGTCTGTGTAAAAACAAAGCTGTGGGCTGCTGAAGCAAAAAGCAGTTTTCTTCCAGCTGTGCCAGACTGGTGCCACTTTTACATTTGCCAGATGGAAAGCAAGATGGGATGAGAGGAGAAAGCTGTAAACCAAAGTGGGGTGTGATTATAACAGAAGAGCAGACAATGTTCATAAAAGTTGCCATAAAATAATTTCAAAATTGATTTTTAGAGGCAAATCAAGATACGCTAAAAAAGGAATCTCTCTATGAGTTCTCTCTTAAATGTTTTAAGAGCAGCAGTTGTTCCATTTTAACTCAAGTTTATTTTCTCTTTGGTGCAGCTGACACACCAGGCTTCATCAGATCCTCTATCCACAGAATGGGTTGGAAGGAATCCTTTTCCACCCCCTGCCATGGGCAGGACACCTTCCACTAGCCCAGGTTGCTCCAAGCCCCATCCAACCTTGCCTTGGGCACAGCTGGGGCAGCCACAGCTTCTCTGGGCACCCTGTGCCAGAGCCTCCCCACCCTCACAGGGAACAATTTCTCCCAAATGTCCCACCTATCCCTACTCTCTTTCAATTTAAAGCCATTTCCCCTTGTCCTGTCACTCCATGCCTTTGTTAGATGTCCCTCTCCAGCTCTCCCACAGGCTCCCTAGTGGGTACCATGGACATTGGGGTTGTTTCCTTCCAGCCAGACCCCATTCCTGGGCTGAGAAAGCCCCCAGTCCAGCCCAGAGCAATGCCCACCATCCGTACCCATGCTGAGCTGCTCTCCAGAGAGATGCATTTGAGTTCAAACTCATGTTTTATATTTTCTCAAAAGGTGAGAGGCACAGGCCAACACCAAGAGTGCAAGGTTCATTTTGGCCTGCAGGTTGGATGGGTTTCAAGCACATTTTCCAATCCATTTGCACCTCAGCCACACAGCACCAGCTCTCCCTCTGGACCAGAGCTGGACTTCAGCCCAGCTCAGCAGTGGAAACAAAAAAAAGCCCCAAAAGCAAAGCCCAACTGCTGCTTGAATTTCTCATAAAAACAACAATGGACAGAAGTCAGGGCTTACCTTTGGAGGGACATAAAACTCCAGGAGGAACCTCTCCCCTTCCACCTTCACCGCTTTGCGCAGCAGGAGGCGGCACTTCTGCCACTGCGAGCTGCCCACACAGTTCGTGTCATCGGCCACCATGTAGCGCAGCGTCCCCTCCCTCTGGATGTCCACCAGCTCCACCTTGGACGAGGGCACCTTGGACAGGCGCAGTTTGTGTGTCCATTTCTCCCGAGGGTCCCCAGGCTCC